TTGATAATTCTCGATCATGATTGGCTGATTTTGAGGTCAAAACAAATCAGCCGATATGCTATTCATTTTGAATTCTAGAATTCTCCAAGCCACTTCAGATATAAAAACTTAACATGCTTCAACAAAGTTCTAAACTTTATCAACATTAACTGGTAGCTTTCATAGTTCTAAATTTTGATTTCCAGTTACATCTATAAGTGCTCTATTATGCTCTTTGTATATATATTTGAATAAATATTTAACTGCCTTAATGCTAGCACAAATTTCTACATTTATATAACAGTTATACTTGGCATATAGAAAGGTATTGTATGGAACGATCCAACAATTATCGACTTTTACTGATTTATTTTCTACTTTGATATTAATATAGTAAAAATCCTGCCTACAATGGTATATTGAATAAGAATTTGTTCTGTAATGTATTTCACTTTAAAATGTTTAAAAAATCTCTTGCTATATCTTTTAATTCCATTTTTATTATTAACTATACATGGTGTGCTATAATTGTGTTCACTACATAGCCTGTGCAACATATTGGAAATAACAGTTGTATAAGCTTTAGGATTAAGGTCCTAGTTTAGTATTTCAGCACAAACCAGTGAGTCATAATCTTCGGAAGTTCATAGTTTGTCTTTTGGATGGAATATAAGTAAAATGTGTGAATGAGAAAAACTACGCTTTTGGAACTTGATAACATAAATGTGTCCAATAACACGCCCAAAGATTTCACATTTGAAAAGATCCTTTTTTAACTTTTGAAGTTTTTTCCTAAATACGTATACTATAAAAATTGAAAATAGTTAAATTTAGTAATTGAGTTTGAAAAAAAATATGAAACATAAATTTCAAATTTCAATGATATATATTGGCATATTTTGCTAATTTATTATATGATTAAGAAATTGGCCTTTTTTATTAACAGCTAAAGCAAGCATACCTGTAATGTCTAGTCGATCCTGTGCTGTTTGCCCAGATAATAACAGCAATTGAATTTCGGGCCAAGTTGAATTGCAGGTAATTGTAACAAAAAGATCAGGTTTTCTAATATATAGCAAGGTCATTGTATCTTGATATCATTGGATTATATCTCGAGGACTATCTATAAAAGTTGAAGAAAAGACTATTTTTCGTCCAATGCTTCCTGGATTTGTGTCTTCTCATATGACTGCGTCAAAAAGCCTTGGTATAGTTTGCTTCGAATTGTTTTTTGATTTTGGCATAAAAAGTTAAGGCAGCTTGTTTCAATTTTTATATACATATCAATTAAAAATTGCTGAAAAAGTCTTCTGGCTTGTAAAAGTATATTTATATGATACGGCCAAATTTGAAGCTGATAAGTATAATATTCCATTGCAGTCACAAATTTTCTATAGCGTCTAGAATTAGAATCATTATCATCAAGTTCTAAATTGTTGTAGTTAATCAAATTATCTTCAGGATCAGCTTGTTCATGCTCAATGTTGATGTCTCTATATGGAATCTTATTAGGAGCCTACCCTTGTTCTCTGAAAGAAAGCAATAGTGGATATGCTAGCAGATCATAATATTCACAAAATTCTGAAATACAAATCTTCTGATTCATTAATGTATACAATATAATATTATGCTTCTGAATCATTTCATGAAGCAAATTATCATTGATTCAAATAGCTACAACCTGAGATACAGTAGGTGTGTTGTGAATTCTTTGATCTAGGCCAGGAATATTAGTATAAATGTGTACTAATAAATTTTTTATTTGTTCTGTAGCTAAAGTTGAAATATGACAAAAGTTTTCAACATAGAGATTAGATTGATCAAACATTGTTTTTAGTGCTTGAAGTATCGACAAATTAAGGTTGGAATTAGAAATAGTGTTTGTACGATGTTGTAATTCATTCTAGATATTCCAAATATACATTTGCAGATACTGTGGTTCTGAGCTAATTTTTAGTATTAATGAGCTAATTCAATGGTGAAATGAACCTTGAATATGATAGATATAAATGCTATTTCTAGCAGTAGCAAGATTATGATCGATTTTAATATTTATAGAAGTAAAGGTAAATATAGAATTATATAGTTGAATTTTATAACAAAAATCTCTAACGATATCATCTTGATTAGAACAAAGTTGTTGCAATAATGGTAGAATTTTTGGCTCAGCCAATACAACTTTTCCTTTGAAACAGTATATTCCAGAAGTTTCTATAGACAACTTTAAAGCATTGTAGTAGAAACAGTTAGTAGTATTATTGATATTAATTTTATGTGGAATAGAGTAACTGCTTAAATTTTCAGAAAAATTATGGGCAATATTTCATAGTTGAAAGTTATTATTGTAACGTTTATGGCTAGTATCTTGTATAGTGTCAGGTTCTTCGGTGTGTTGTTTATTGTTTGAATTTTGTAGTTGAAATTTATATAGAACTTCACGTTTCTCTTTACGATACTGTTGATATATATTATTATCCTGACTAAATCTCTGCTGATGATATGCTTCAGTTTCAAGCTTTCTACTCTCTCATTTTCTAGTAGCATTAGCATTTTTTTGGTCTTGTTTTATCTGAAAACATACCTTATGTGTTATAGTAACAAAGATTTGCAATACTAATTTATAATAATGCTATTAAGTACAGTAAAAAGAGAATAGAGAAGGTGAGGTTTTTTTTGAAAAATATTTATATGCGGTTAGTCGTATAAAGATGGCATAGTATTGTTGTATTTAATGATATATGCAATTACTACCCTAGTACACTAATAATAAATTTTTACTACTACATATTGATTGACAGAATTAATCCAATAGTGAATCTTGCATTCATATAATACATCACAAACAGAAAAATTCAAACCAAACATTCATTTTGAAGAAACTATTTATTTATCGATAATTTATATAAGAATCCTCTTTTCATAAACTAATAAGCAAGTTTACTAAAATCATCACTAAAGTAAACTCCAAATAGAATATAGCCTGAACATAAATGAACTATAAAAATCTGTATCGATTACTATGTGATCCCAAAATTTTGCAACAGACAGAGTTAGATTGCTTATAGTATACAGAATGCTTGATAAGTGTTATTTTGATTGTTTATTGATAACTCAAAATATGGTCTAAAAAAAAAGAGTTATGCAAAATTTTAGTATAAAAAATGCTTATAATAATACAATGAATATCTAAAATAAATACATATATACTAAAAATTACATATAGTATTTGAAAAATGTATGTATTATATAGATCACTGCTAAATATTTATCGTTAACTCAAATCTATAAAAACATCATCATAGACAAAATTTTGGTAAATGAATTGCTTTAAGTAATATAAATTCAATTTTAAAGCAAAAAGTTATATTAAAAGTTTGATGGTTTTTATTATAAGGTTGGTAGTATGTTATTGCTTAAGCATTACGATCGTTAAATTGCTATCCTGATTTTTAACCGTAAAAGCTACAAAAAATGCAAAATATAATCTATGAAATAATCTTTAGTATACAAATAAAAAAAAATCTTGCAAAATTTTAGTTGAGAAAATGGTTTATTAGAATATTTCTTCGAATCTTATTGTAATTTTTTAACTACTTTTATATAATCATTTGCAATGCTTAATATAGATCATCTTTTTCCATTATACTATTGGAGTAGTTATACAAATCATACTTTCAGAATTGACTAATCAGAATTATTTTATTCCAAACAGACATTTACAATTTTAATAGTATAGATATATATACAATATGTGTATAATATCCTGTATCAACTCTACACAAATTGGATATCAGATTATACATATTCTACATATATCATACATATATCTTACACATATCGGGTACCAGATTTGTATAGGATATATATATGATTTATTTTATTTTAACTTGTGTTAAAATAAAAAACTATACTAAAATTTTGTAAGGAATTTTTTTGCTAGAATGCAAAAGTTACTTTCATAAACAAAATTTTAAAATAAAAGTATTTTTTTTAAAAAAAAAGATCAATTTTTTAATTTTAATATTATATACTAATTGTTTGTATAAATTCTACGTAATAGATACTAATTGGATAAAAAGTGTAATTTTTAAATCAGACAAGAGGTATATAAATATACCCTATAATAGATCATTCTGTTAATAATTTTAATACAATCTAAAATATATATAAAATACAAAACCACTATTGTACTAAACAAAAACTAAACATAAAAACTGCAATATACAAGTTTGAATAATTCTGTTACATTATATAGTAGTACAAAGATAAGTCTTACTATGATCTTTTGTATTTCTCTTATGATGTATTAAACTATCTTTTCTTTTACTTTATAGTTTTACATAATAACCATTAAAGTATCTTTATTAGAAAATAAAAATAAATTGAAGTTGAAATAGGCAAAATATTTTGAGCGAAGATAAATCTAATATATAAAATAAGTTAGGGAGATATCATTAATTATCTGATTTTTTAGGGGGTAGGGTCAAGCCCAAAGTCAGGTTATATATATTATATATATATATATACTATCTCTTAAACTGTAATGCAGTCAAATTTGCTTGCTAAATTTTTTTTTGTTGTTGTTTTTTATAATTACTTAAAATTTTATTATGCTTAGACCCCTATTTCTATGCTAAAATGAAAA